GACCCTCGTGAGGATTAAGCGGTGTATAGATAATGGATGCATGGATGGATTTTGTAGAGCTGCAGTTAAGAATTTGTAGCACAGGTTCGGTAGCACCAATGTTTAGTGGGTTTTTTGTGCAGTTGTGGTTCAAGATTCAAGAGTTTTATTGTCATATGCACAGCAAAACAGGTAGTTGTACTACACAATGAAATTCTTACTCTGGTTCGGTAGAAAGTAAAATTATAGCTTTGCTGGAGTTGTTTAAAGCTCGTTCTGGCCTGGTGATGGGCACTTCTCCCAGTCGTCTCTGGTCCGTAGAGTCCAAAGATGTTTACCTTACAGGTGTGGAGCCGTTATTGACTGAATTACGAGGATGTTTTTTGAAATTAAAAAAAAATACCCCAAAGCTTAAGAGATTAAAAGAAGTGAGGGTGAGAGCAGACCTCCAGTTTTTGATGGTTTTTTCCAGATATGTGGAGCACATCCTGCCAGGTCTCAACAGGTAATAACAGCACAGATTTTGCCCCTAAAATATTCAGTGCTTTGCAAACCAACAGCTGAATGTTAAAGTCAGTTTGTGGACACACACATGCTGGAAGCGGTCTGAGGACATGAGATCCAGAGTGATGTCATCCACTTGGTTTGATTCCACTGGGTTTTGTTTGGCGCACGATGCAGTTTTATTTTGGCTATGAAGTTGGGTGGTTGTTCCCTGAAAGACAGCTGTCCCCTTCAAGCACAGATTGCACGCCGTTGTCAGCGAGTGAGTCGCTGAGCCACAAAATAAACATGACAGTGATTAGCAGTTATAGTTAATCACGAGAGAGTAGACATTAGTGAAATGTGAGCAGATACGGTTTAAAAACATCATTTGGAGTCTGTTTCTGTGACATGTTGAAGCTGACCAACACGTCACACTGAAGTATTTGAAACCAAGTGTATCCAAGTTGATTTTCTTTTCTTTTTTTTTTAAAATTCAGGCCCATCGTAGGGCTGTACGTTCCTGTGAGAACAGGACACCTGGGGTTTGAAACTGTGTTCACAACACTGTTTGGGAAAAGACCTGGATCATGTTAGAACCGTACAAGGTTTTATCTGTTCAACTCCATCTGCTAAATATAATTAAAACTGGGATGATCTTCTCAAGGGCATCATGTGGATGTCTGGCATAACAATTGTGACAAACAAGAATATGGCCCATCTTGAAGAGGCAGCAGCTGAACAATCTCCATTTACTTAATGGAAGATTTCTCGTTGCATTTCTTTTTTTACTTTAATGCCAAACTGCTTTTTCTCATGTCAACAACGTGCTTTCAACATTTCTATCTTTGCTTTTTCCTCCAGGTTTTCGTGCTAAGGATTGAAGATCATCCCGGTTCCTTCGCAGTCACAGACCCAGACCAGAGACGTTTTACTTCAAACACAAACCTTTTGAGTGAACCTCAGCATTCAGTGACTTCTCCACCCAACATAATGATCTTCAGTGGCTCTCTCACGCCAACAAGGGACGGATATTAACAGGTTTTCTGATCGTTATCTGGCAACTCATTGGGATTTAAACATTTTGTCCAATGCTTACCTGCGAGGCATATCCAGCTCTGGATGTGGATGTATGTCTAATCCCAATCCGGAAATAAGCACAAACTTTGAACTTTTCGCCACCTTTTTTTGTTTTTTATTTTTTAAACACGATACACCCTGATGATCACAAGGGAATATGTCACTATATTCCTGGTGGGCTCCTGTTTACTGTTGGACTACAGCTCCCAAGTCCCCCAGCAGACTTTGCTCCAGAGCAGGACTAACAGGGGTGCGGTGACGTCACCCAGGGGAGCGACGGGAAGTCAGAATGCGAGGGCGTCTTTTGGAGAGGCCAAAACCTTTGAGGGCAGGATGAGGCCGAGGAGACACGGGAGGTCGAGGGTCCAGCGTATTAAAAGAGGCTGGGTGTGGAACCAGTTCTTTGTCCTGGAGGAGTACATGGGATCAGAACCGCAGTATGTTGGAAAGGTAAGTAGATATCTAATCTAACCTGACGTTTTGGTGTTCTTTCGCTATGAAATGTACCAGTGTTTTACTCAGCTTTAGTTCAACTTTCACCACAAGACTTAAAATTTCTATGTCGTCTATGGGTTTTATTAGACTTCTCCCTGTTAGTAGTAATCATGAAACCTGCTCACTGTGGATGCTTACGCTTCAGCGCGCTGAAATGACGTCAATCCATCAACCTGATCAAAGCTATCGGTGGTTTCTTTCTACCCTCTCAGAGGAATAGTGCTACACTGGAGGCTGAAGACGAGATATGCTGCAGAAAAACTGCTAACAATCTGTCAGTTTAGGTTAAAACAGGTGCTTTTTCTTAAATTAAAAGGCTCTTCATCACAGTTACACTAATAAAGGCAGAGTTGAAATAGAACAGCCACGACTGGAAGAAACAACGGTGACTGTTTAGAAACATAAATGAAGATCAGTGGTCAGATCAGTATTCCAATAACTGCAGCCACTGTTTTGAGGTGTTTGCGAACACAATTAATGATGTGTCATAGTTGCTTATCACAAAATGTGACTATAGGCTGCTTGCTTATGCGTGAAATTTTAAGAAATGTGACTTTTTAATACTCCCAAATAAGATTTAAGACTTGTCCAATTGGATTTTATTTATTTATTTATGATTGATTGATTGATTGATTGATTGATTGATTGATGTATGTTGCGATCCACTGTAGACACATCAAGTCTCAATGGTTCACAATTAAAACAATTTAAACTAATGGATATCACCACAAAACTTCCAAAATTGATTATTCACAATAAACCTTGTTGTTGTTGTTGTTGTTGTTGTACTCCAGGCTTTCTGAAATTGGAAGTTTACAAATGTAAATGAAGTGTGATCTAATTAAATAAGCACAAATTTGCACAGGTCTGCAGATCATTAACGTGAACACTGAATAAAAGTGGGTTCAACCTTTTTGTTTAATTTTTGCGAACATATTCGAGTCAAATGTTTTTACAGAGATGATTTTGAAAATCTTTTTTTTTTTCCCGTCCCCTACTTCACAAATCAGAAAATAGTGCGAAGAAACAGAAAAATCTATTTTTTTCTCCGTGTTTTTAGGAGTACAATGTTTTATAAATCACACTGTGAATGATAAATGAACAACTCCTGTAGAATACAGATGGAAAGAAAACCGGCAAATTCGGTGGTATTAACGGGGAGATTTGTGCCTCAGAGCAAGACAGAGAAAAAGCAAATGTTGTAAAGTCCAATTCATTTTTACTGGATACCACTATTCAGAGCTATAAAGCAGAGGGACATGTGAACCAGTAAACTTGTCTCATCTACTAACCTTGTGAAACTCTAAACAGGGAGGTGCAGAGGTCGAGCAATTCCTACTTTGTCACATGTTCATACGAGCTCTTCTTAAACCTATATTCCACCATGGGTATGTCAGATTTTCAGCATTTTGTTCCTGCTCCTTTTCCTTTTTTCTCCTTCTTTTTGAAGTCAGGAAAACCTCCTGACTGGCAGCGATGGCAGCAGTTTCCCCATGCAGCTCCTGTTTTCAAACCTTTTTAACCTCTCTTTTGTGCTTGGCAATGGGTTTTTGAGGGATGAAGGGGTCAAACTAAGAGGAAGAGTTCTTGCAGCCTCTCACTCCTCTTTGTTGTCTTGAGTCTTGCTCTCTGTAGACTCCTGCCTCCCGGATCGATGGCTGCACCGCTCGGTAATTGAAGACAACATCCAAGGGGGAGGAAGTGCAGCTGATAAAATAATGACCAGAAGGGATTCGCACTAAGGGGGGAAAGCTCCAGACAACATAGCACATCCACAATTACTTTAACATTTCGCTATGGGTGTGCTCGGACTTTCACTTCAATATTATCTATTATTATGTGTTCAAAGACTCAGCTGCTCTGTATATTGGATCCCTTTTGCCTTTTTAGTGTGGCACGTGGACTTAGATGAGCAGTGTCACCAACCTCCTGGCAACTATTATAACGTCAGGTTCCATTTGGACTAAACTTGAGCACCACTGAGGCTCGTGCAGATGCAGTGCAGGAAGGTTTCTTTATGTGAAATAATGGCTTTGCTCCACATAGTATCATAGAGTTGTCCGTTTGACAGCAGCGTTACGGATAGTTAAGTAGGAGCTGGTAAACAGAGAAGTGGGGGGGCATAAATCTAAAAGTTCTGCCGTCCCGTTCTGAGTGATAAAACATCGAAGCGCAGTAATTTGTTGAGCCTGGTTTGGAAACTGATAAAGCATCAAATAGCTAGAGCTGCTTTCGGGTGACCAAACTAGATAAAAAATGAGTGTTTCAGCTGCTAACGTCTGCAGTGTCGGGGTATCTAGGTGGCATTTGTAATAATTCAAAGATCTTTTCTCACTTCTTTGTTTTCAATCGTCGGCCCGCGGAGGACTCGCTTGTGAGGCGCTCTTTCACGCGCTAACTCCAAATGACATTTCTAAAAGCATTAAGAGGAGTTCAGGATTTGGCTGCGGATGTGATCGGTTTGGACCAACGCTTGCCAGCAGCTTCCCCACCAGCCAGTAGACTGGAAACAGCTTTTTTTTTTTCTCTGCTGGAGGCCTCCAGCTGGCAGGCAGACAGAGGGAGAGAGAGTGACGGAGAGGGTCAGAGGCAAAAGAAATCAAATAACCTGGATCTGATGTGGAAAAAGCATGTCAGCATCAGACGTGATCCAGAAAACAAAGAGAGACGTAAGCTCGTCCTGTGATCTTTTTAAACCGCCGCCCCGCTCGTCATGTGTTGATAACAGAGTTAGAATGATGTGATTGTTGATAATTGAATACAAGCTGTTACCAGTCCTTCAAACGGGGCATAAAATTCAACACAACAGTGCAAGTTTATTCAGTTACCGGAGCCTGACCTGGATCAAGCTTTTGCAATGTGAACCGCCAACATAAAGGAGATAACAGCGACTCCTTTCAAGCAGCAGAGATGAGATGTAAGTTATGGACACATTATTCAAACAGTTTGGGTTAATTATAGCAAATTCACAATAAAGAGTCAAACACATCCACACACTAGAGATCAAATAAAAATCTGCTCTTTTGTGTCTGTTATCCCAATTAGATTAGAAATGTAGTTGTTGTTAGTGGAAGCAGACAGCATGCAATTTGAATTAGTTATTATAACACTATATTGTATGGAATGTTTCTTGCATCATAATTATATGTTGTTTGCAGCTGCTAACTAATCATTTTAGTCCATCTTTTACAGTGTAGCTGCAGCAAAGAAAAGAATTTGACTTAATTTATTAGACTGAGATGATGCGCAGAACATGAAACATAATACATTCATTTTGCCAGATGCAGCTAAAAGCTCATTAACATCTGCAGTCCCTGCTGCAGAAGCAAAATACAGTAGTAAGCTGAGGGTAATTAAAATCATACACTTTGGGGGGGAAAAAACTGAATAAAACATATTTTACTTTTTATTTATTTAAAAAAAAAAAGAGAGAGAATCCCAAAACAAAACAAATAGGAAAAAAAAAAAAAAATTTGCAGCTACTTAGTAAATTCTAATTTATTTCAACATCATTAAAAGCAGAAAATTCATTGCAGGCAATTCAAGGCTGACAAATTAAACTGACTGCTTAAGGAGCCACATTAACTTGATTAGAAGTTAACGGGTCAGAATGACTTTAACTTTCAAACGTAGCGTTAGTCTGGATCCACGGGCTAATAAGGACACACAATAGAGAGGAGTGTAACAATCCAAAAACTTTAAAGGACATGGATTATAGTTGTTATAACTTATTGTAAATGTTCTTATGGTTCTGACCTGATAAATAAACAAGAGCCTTAGAAAGACAATGATTTGGAAATGAAGCCAAGAGGTTTTCTCAGAACAAAAACATATTTTATCATCCTGGGATCCTTTTCTATAAAAAAGGCTCCGTTCACTTCATGTCCACTGCATGTATCTAATAAAAATGCCAAATGTCTTTAGATGTTTATAAAGAAAAATGAGCAAATCTTAAAGCTTTGGAAAAGTGTAGATCCCAAAGTCTCAATGCATATCTGTGAAAACATAAGAAAGTTCCGTCGACCTTTTTTCAACATATGTGGTCAAACAAATACTTGATTCCCTTTGAAAGAATGTCTGTTAATAAAGGCAGCCATCAAATTAATAAAGTTTGAATGTAAGCTTCCAAAATAGGTGCCAATGATTAGAACTTTCTTCGGGAGCCATATGTGAAACCATCCATCCATCCATCTTCTCCCGCTTATCCAGAGTCGGGTCGCGGAGGCAGCAGCTTTAGCAAAGCCGCCCAGACTTCCCGATCCGCACACACCTCCCCCAGCTCTTCCGGGGGACCCCAAGGCGTTCCCAGGCCAGCTGGGAGACATAGTCCCTCCAGCGTGTCCTGGGTCTTCCCCAAGTCCTCCTCCTGGTGGGACACGCCCGGAACACCTCCCCAGGGAGGCGTCCAGGAGACATCCGGAAAAGATGCCACCTCAACTGGCTCCTTTCGATGTGGAGGAGCAGCGGCTCTACTCCGAGCTCCTCCCGCATGACTGAGCTCCTCACCCTATCTCTAAGGGAGCGTCCAGCCACCCTGCGGAGGAAGCTCATTTCGGCCGCTTGTATCCACGATCTCGTTCTTTCGATCATTACCCAGATCTCATGACCATAGGTGAGAGTAGGAACGTAGATTGACTGGTAAATCGAGAGTTTTGCTCCCTTGCTCAGCTCTCTCGTCACCACATGTGGAACCTTCTTTTTTTGTAACCTCTGAAATCCAAGGTTCTCTCTGCTACTGAAGTGTGTGGTGTCATCATGCCGAGATCGAAACAACTCTCGAAAGCCTTTACAAAAAGATCAGATGTGTCAGACAGAGCTCATGACACCAGTGGAGCACGGTGGTGGAAATGTTGTGGTTTGGCGTCGGGACTGCTGGGACTCAACTACATCTTATCTAAGAGTGCTTGAAGATAACGTGAGTCAATCTGTCTGATAGGTAAACCAAAAATGGACCTTTAAACAGGATAAAGATGTCAAGCAAATTGTCAAATCCACCAAACAGTGGCTCGCAAAGAACAAATGGACAATTATGTGAAGGCGGTTCATATACAGTGCAGTTAGGAGTCTGCATGGTCCACAGCAGTGCTAGAAAACACAATGGTGATGTCCTGACAGCAAGATGGAGAGACCCTTTAATTGTTGTATTTAGCTGAACAACAGTTGGTTACGTTTCCTAGTAAATGTGCAGGTTTGCTGTGCAGCCAGTCGATACGTCACAAACAGCCCACAGGCCTTCACAGATGTGGGCAGATGATGAAATTAACATTTTGTGGACTTTAGTGACCATGCAGATGTGAAAACCGTCTTTAAAGTCAACAGTTACCAGCTGTCTGAGGCAACACGTTTACCATCTGCAGGCCAACACAAGCACAAAACACAATGTCCAGCTGACAGCAATTCCATTTGTTTCCAATCTGGTGTCTAGTCATGAACTAAACTAATGCACAAAATTAATTGTGAGTAAGTAAGAGGATAAGTTATTATAATCCATCCTAATGGACTAATGAATGTGAGTACTAAACTTCATGATGATCCATCCAGTCGCTGTCGGTCCCAACATTACCACCCCAACAGCCAAAGATGCTCCGAAACCCTATTTCGACAGCTTTTACTTTGTACTTGAATAATTTAGCACCATATATTGGAATATGATGTTATGATTAACCCTAGGAATCCTTTTTTTTTAATCAAACATTTGCCCTTATTAAGCTCTAAAGACTGAAGGCTCTGGTTAAATCCTGGCACATACCTTCATTCTCCAAGATTCTGTGTTGTGTTGGTGTTTTGAACCTCCTCAAGAAGAAGCTTTCCAAGTGAAAATGTTCACTTTTTGAGATAATTTCTCATCAGGAAAGGCATTTTTGCAATGAAATATTATCTGATCTGTTCACCATCTTCATCTCTATCATCTGTATTGGAGTGGATGAGTGAGCGAGTTCTCCACAAGAGATTCTTCAGAGAGTAGAGACGGGAAAGTTTTGAGGGAAGGTTTTTAGACTGGTCGTAATTGAGGCACCGCTAATTAGTTTAAAAAGTGCCTGTCTGACAAATCCATACTCAATCCTGTAGGTGTTCTCTTACTGTCCACAGCAGCTGCTTTCTCTTCAGCCCTGCCAGCTCCCACATCAGCAGATCAATCCCGAAATATCAATAACCTCCAGCGCTAATGCCTTCTTCGGTAAATGTTCATCACATAAAACACTCAAAAGTTGAGTTTTCTGTCCAGCAACCAACTGAAACAAGTTGTGTTTAAATGTGGAAAGTGTTGTTTTTTTCTTCTTCTTCAGCACTGTGCATATTTAGCAACATCACAAACAACATTAATGGATGTAAACACATATAATTAAGACGCATAGCCGGTGCTGCAGTGGTGTTAACAGCAGGTACAGTCTCAGAAATTAATCACAATCTCCTGGACTCCCTTGTGTGAAGCATAAATCCACCTTAATGACAGAAAAGAAGGGGTGGGCTTTCTGTTCTCTCACTGGCTGCATCAGTGATGGATTTCTCAGTTGAAGTCTTCATTAATGACCAGCGCGACTCTCCTCGATTCTAACGGCCAATCTGAGCAGGTTCAGGAACATGTGTGGACAGATTCACTGTTACAAGGCTGGTGTTCACTGTCTTATGTCAAGTTTTGATTACGTGGAAATAAAAGTAAATCTTT